ATGGCCTGCGGCCCCGATTCCATGTTCTGGAGCTTGGTGCCGTGGCAGAACCACAGGACTTGCCCCCTTTCTGCTCCTCTGGGGGGGCCTGGGTTGAGGGGCCGGGGCCAGGGCCGCGTCTGCCCCGCAGCGGAGGCTGCCAGCCCCGGACCGCCCCCCACCCGCACTGAGCGCCCCCACCCCGCACTCGCATGATGTCCTCAGCCTTGCCTGAGTCCCGGAGGCCTCAAGCAGGAGGTGGTGCCCTTGTGCGCCTGCTCTCTGACGGCGGCCCCTCTGGCTCCCCCCACGCGGACCAGATCTTTCTTCCCTTCCTCCTCCCAGCGACCCCGAGAGGCAGAAGGAGAAGGAGGCTATCCGGCAGCAGCGGCACTTCCTGGACTGGCTCCATCTCTTGGTGCTGACTGCCATGTTCACGATGGTGGGGCACCGGGTGGCCGCCTTGGTTGTCCTGGAGTTCTCCCTCCGGGCGGTGTCCACCGTCCTCTCCCTCCGCAAGGTTGCCTGTCTCCTTTTCTGCTTACGCGCCGGGGCTGGGGGGAGTCGGGCAGGGCCCTCAAGTTGTGACGTTTCACGGGCCAGAGCAGGGAGTGAGGGTGGCTCTCGCCAGGAAAAAAGCTGTGCCCAACTGGCCAAAGGGACCTCTGATACGCACTGGATTCCTGCTGTGGCCCTGCTCCGAGTAAACGCCTCTGCCCCTGCTCTCTCCCAGGAGGGGCCCAACGGCTTCCTCATTTCCTCCCCCCCAACCAGTTGAATGGGCCAGAACGGACTCCGGCTTCTCCAGGCACGACCCCTGCCCCATTCAGTGCCCTCAAGTCCCCCTGGTGCTATGAGCCTCTCCGCAGGCGTGCTCCAGGTCCCCTCGTCGAAGCAGCATCGCCTGGAGGGGCCTCGGAAGCGTGCCTTCTCTGCCATGGCCCCTGCAGATACGGGGAACCGCTTCAGGAAAGCAGTGAAGATCTGGCTTTCCCCCCAGGCGCCAGGGCCAGGGTGCTGATGGAGCTGGCACAGGGCGGTTGGTGGACGAGTGCGAGTTTTACCGGGGCCTCCACCTGAATCGTGTTCTTGTTCGCTGCCCAGAGTTCTTTCCAGGAGGTGGAGGCCACGTAGGCCGGTTGAATAAACGAGCCCCCCAATTCCCGTTTCCGCAGGGGACCCACAGCAGCCAGCTGTACCTGCTCTGCCAGTTCTCCCTGGGCTGTGGGGTCTCCTGCAGCCTTGGCTACCTGCAGGAAGGAGCGTCCCACCGCACCGGGAACCTCCTCCTCAGCGTGGGGCTGGCTGCCCTCCTGACCCACTACGTCTGGCGCCTGGCCTGCCACGTCTCCACCATGTACGAGCTGCACTGCAAGGAACGCTACTGCGGGGGGTGCCTCTTTCTCCTCACCACGTGGCACGGCATCCCCCAGCTGCTCTGCAACGCCCTCACGGTGACGTTTGCGGTGGCCAACCTGGCGGCCGTGGCTCTGATCAACCGGGATTTCCTCTCGACCTCTGAGGCTATCCGCTTCTGGACACCGCTAACCATCTGCTACACGCTGCTGGTCATCTACATGCAGGGTGGGCTTTTCCTTGCTCTGCACACGCGGGCACGGTCCTGCGGAAGGCTTTTCCTCCCTTCCCCGGAACGCGGGTGAGCGCTCCCTGTGGGGCAGCCCCCCGGTGCCTCCTGACCACAACCCGCTTCTGGCTGCTTGGTTGACAGAGGAAGAGCTCCAGAACCCCACCAAGCAGATGGCCTTCCAGAGGGTCTTTGTCAGGATGGGCGGCCTTCTGATCCTGCTGATGACCGTGGGCCGATGGATGGACATCGCGAACGTCCTCATCTCGCTGGCTGGGGAGATCTGGTGCCTGGCCCGGACAGGAACCATGCTGGAGGTGTGCAGGGAGCAGGTGAGGAGCAGGGCGGTGGCTCGGGCCGGGCTTGGGGCAGAAGCAGCTTCTCTGCCGCTGACCCTCCGGGAACCATCTTTCCACGAGGCTCGGTGTTTGGCCAGGCTGTTGCCGTGGGATGCTCCCGAGCAGAGCAGGATGGAGCAGCTTGGCTCCCCCCACCCCAAAATCTCGTGAATGGGGAGGTTCTGAGAGACAGACGTAGAGCGGCCATTCCGAAAGACCGTACCCCGTGTCTGTGAGCCCAGCAGCCGTGGCAGCTCTTTCACGTGTTTTACCTTTGCTTTGCGTTCCAGGATTATTCGGAGAGCCTCTCTTTCTCCGCGTCTGCATTTCGCCCGCCCCAGGCAGCGCCAAGAGCGCCCCTCAGAATCCCAGGCGGCAGCGGCAGCCCCAGGGGGCGCATCCTGAAAGAGAGAAGCCTCGCGGAAGAGGATGGCGTGGCCCGGAGACCCTAGGCCAGGGCAGGCCATGGGCCCACGGTGCTGGCTCCTTCTGGGCTCTCCTGCCGCGGCAAGACACCGCTCGCTGATGCCATGCTGCCTGAGGGCTGGCGGGTTCCCTCCTGGCCCCATGGCGCCGCCTGTCCCCTTCAGCAATTCCTTCTCTGTAGTGACTGCTCCGGTCGGCCTTCCTGGGAAAGCAGGGAGGCCAAAGCAGGCGGGAACCGGCTGGCCGGGGGGTGGGCCCCAGGGGCAGGATAAGAGAGGCTTTGGCTTGTGGGCGGCAAGAGGGAGTCGCGTCGGGCCCAGGGGAGGCGGCCGAGAGCTGCTGCCGTTGTCCCGGGGTGAGGCTAAGGAAAGGGGAGCCGGAGGGGCTCTGGTGCTGGTGCCATGGCTCCCGAGCGACAAAAGCCCAGCTGTGGGCTGACCGGCGTGCCTCCCCGAGCAATCCTGAGGGTCCGGTGGGGAGGGGCCAGAGCTCCTTGTGGGGAAGGCTGCCCCCGCTTTGGGAGGCAGTGGCGCGCAGTGGGCTTGGTCCTAGCGTCGCATCCCCACTGCACCCTGAGAAATGGGCCAAGGGGCCTTTCCCGGCCTGGTGCCGCAGCTGGAAGAGAAGCGAGTGGTGGGAGGGCCAGGATGCACGGTTTTGGCGGCCTCGCGGGCTGGCCGTTCTGCCTGCCGTGCTGGCTGCCCTGGAGGTCCTGGGGCTGTTCTGAAGCCTTGAGCTCAGCGGCTTCTAACCCCACCGCAGCGCCCCTCTGCAGCTGCCTCCGCGACCTCACGTCATTTCTGTGGGACGCGGGAGGACCCCCGGGATCTGCTGCTGGGACCCTCCTGGCTTGGTGGGCGGAGGGGGATGGGGAGGGTCCCTTCCTCCCCTGCTGTTCTGCGCTCTGCTCTCCTGGCTGAGGCTCTGAGATCTTCCCCGGCAGGGAAAGCGACGAGGGCAAAGTCGGTCTTATTTCAGTCACTGGTCATCAACACAAACTACTGCGCTAAAAACGAATTGCAGAGGTCATTTAATTTTCTCTGGTAGAGAGGGAAAAAAGCTGTCTTTTAGCAGCTTTGTATTTCAGGAGGATGCATTGGTGGCTGGCCGTATAAATGTAGGAAGTAAATAAAAACGATGGCAACAGCAATCGATATTTTTTTCCTTGTGTCTCAGTTCCACGCCAATTTCCGCTCTTGCGAAGCGACTGCCCCTCTTCAGGCACGCGTGAGTTTTGCCGAGGGTCTCTGCAGGGACCCTCCGAAAGGGAGCCCTTTCTGCCCCCAGGCCTTCTCTGGCTTGCCCTGGGTCTCTTCAGTGCTGCGTTCGGCCAAAGCGCCCCCACGCCACAGGCCCTGGGGGGCCTCTCCCCCGGCAGATCCGCGGGTGGGAAGCCAGGCTGCAGCCCAGAGAGGTTTCGCTCGGGGGTGTGTGTGCAGGTGAGATCGGATGCCTTGTGAGGCGTCCACTATTCCTCCCTCTGCCCCCAGGGGTGCAGTAGACAGGCGTGCCCATGCCCTGCATCTGCCAGACGAATCTGCCAATCCCACCCTAGCGGAGAAGACGGGTGGCGTACGTATCCCTTGCTCTCTAATAAGCGGCAGCAGGAATGTCCGTGAGTGGTGTGTTGCTTGAGGCCAGCAGGGGGCAGCGCTTAGCCAACGTGGGTTGCTCCGGAGCGGCAGCAGGGCCAGGCTGTGGCCCCAGGCCGGAGTGGGAAGCGGGAGGTGGCCTTGTGGCCAAAGAAACCACACAGGCGTGTCCGTGGAGCCGGCGGGAGCTGGGCTCGACTCCTCTCGCTCCAAGCATCCCGGGCCAGGCGGCTGCAGCTGGGAAGGGGAGAGCCGGGCCGCTGTGGGCAAATGGCCTGCCTCGCCCCCTCCTCTTTTCCTTTCCCCGCCCTGGGGCTTTCCAGTTGTGAGATGTGCTCCGGAAAGCTTTGCTTAACGCACGCTCGGATCCCAAGCTGTTGCAACGAGCTGGCCGGTCAGCCTTGCTGGTGTGAGAGCAAAGCCAGCTGCCGCTTCCCCGGCAAGTGGACGGGGCCGGACGGCCTTTGGGCTGGTGAGAATCGGGCCCACGCGCTCTTGTGCGGGACGTGTGATGCCGCCGGTCATCTGGGCACAATCGGGGCCCGGCCTCTGCCAGCCGATGAAAGCTCCCGGCCTGCCTGACTGCAGATGCAGCGGGACCCCCGCTTTTGTGGTGCTCAGCCAGCCACTCTTCTCGGGCCCAAATGATCCCCTTTGAAAGGGAGGTAAGTGGACTGGCCCCTTCTGCGCTTTCTGTTGGCAGCAGCAGTGGCTGGGAGGGGCAGGCAGGCTGACCTCCTGCCACGCCCGTGCTCGGGATCCGGCTCAGCAGCTGATCCCCCCCATAGCGTTGCTTAAAGGGTGTCAGCCCAGCACAATGGGCCCGGCGAAGGGGCCAGTGACTTTCTTGCATGGTAACAGTAGCTTGCACGTCTCCCTGCCTTTATCTTCCTGGGAACAGGGAGGGGCTCGTTTGAGACGTTTCCTCCAGTTATTTTCTTGGCTGGGGTCAAGGGCCGTTGATGTGACCGTTGTTCCTCCTGTTCCTCGAGGCCGTTCCCTGTGGCCTCTACAAAGGGCCAGTTGCAACTGACAAGGCCTTCCGTCCGTCCGTTCAGCCTCCTTGTGATTGTAGCTAAGAGGCTTTGGAAGACGCCCCCCCCCCGCCCCCACCACCAGTCTCTCACAAAAATGGGGGAGGGAGGAGGACTTGCCTGGAATGCCAGAGGTCCACTTTCCTCCCACAGATGAATCGCTTGGGGAGGGGTGTGACCGGGCCCCCTTGCTGAGCCAGGCAGCCCCAGCCCGCATCGTGGCCTATCTGGGGGGAGGGGGGCGGTTGAGCTGGTCCTGCCATTGGAAACCGCCCCAAGGGCGCGTCCTCCCACGCGGCCCAGGAGGATGGGAGTTGTTGCCTCCCGCAGAAGGCATCGGGAGGCGGAGGCGGCTCCGGATGACCCAGAGG